AGCCCCTTCCAGCCCTGCCCGCCGGGGAACTGGGCCCGGGACGTCACCGGGGCCGGCTCTTCTGTGCAACACCAGCAAGGAGAACGTCACGGCCGGGCCCCGCCCCGAGCTGCCGACACTAGCCCCTCCTCTCTGCGCTACGGACCCGAGCTGCCCCCAGACTCTCCTACAACCCTGTGCTCCGTGAACCCCTCCCGCCTCGTCTTACCCAGCCTCCTTAGAACTCAGCATTTTGGCCCAGATGAGGTCAGTGTCAATGGGCTCCTCGCGAGGGTTAGTGGAGCTGACCTGCAGCATCAGGCTCTCGCAGGGGGCGCCGGTGAGCGTGGCCAGGCCCTCGATGGCGCGCCCCGCCTGGAGGGCGAAGTACGAGCCGTGCAGCTTGGCCAGAGCCTTCTCAATGAGGGCTACCCACAGCTGCTTCCGCTGGGCCTGGGGAGGGAGAGAACCCGGGTTACAGCCACACGGAGGAGGCGGGGCAGCTGCGCGCTCCAGCAGGCCAAGGCCTCGGAGAAAGGGCCCCAGGCCCACCCTGCCAAGACCATGCCGGGCAGGGGGAGGGAGGGGCTGCCTGGCCAGCATCTTGCTCCTTGGGGGTCACCCCCCACATGCTGGAGTTGAGCCAAGAGGCCGTGCAGACTGCCCGACAGCCGGGGCAGAGGGGTGTTCGGACAGGGTTTCAAAACACAGGCCCCGTGTCCCAGCAAAGCCGGATTTAGGGAGTTTCGTCCGAGAAGGGGATTCCAAACCCGTCCTGAATGCCCGGATACACGCCCGCCCCCGCCCCCCAAAGCTGGCCCTGTGGATTAGGCTGACTCCGGAGCACTTACAGACGGAACCAATTCCGTTTCCTACAGCGGGGAGAGGAGATTGCTCCAAGGGCAAACAGATGACAGCTCAGAGACGCTAGAGACACGACAGCCAACGTCTCGCCCCGCAGCACAGGGAAAAGTAATTAGACAGGGGCTGCCTGGCAGGAAGAGGGGTCCCGTAAATTGCTCTGGTCTGGCGCTAGGCTGTGGCATTGTGACGCTGCGCATCAATGCCACGGCTACGCGATTGCCACGAGAGATCGGCAAGACAGCAACGCTAGCCACACGGCACCGGCCGTACGATCTGCACCCAGCGTAACAGTCTGCGCAGACCCCACAACACCCCTCGGGAATAACCTCCGGGCCTGCACCCTGTTCGGTGCGCCAGGCCCACGGCAAACGCCCGGCAGCTCCCCCCGCAAGGAGCCGCCAGAGGCGGAGGAGATGACAGCCGAGTGACTGAGGCGCTATCTGGCATGGCGTGTGTTGGGGCTAGATGGGAAGTTACACGTTTCCAAAAGCAACAGCACACGCCACCCACACACAACATGGCTGAGCTCAGCCGCGCGGGCCGCAGGAACCAGGCTGGGAGATCCACGGCTTAGCCGCACCGTGACGGAAAGGTGACATTCTGGGAGGCGGTGACAGGGGGGGACCCCCGGGAGGGGCGAGGGCTCTTTATGAAAGCCAGAAGGTGCCATTTGTGTGTTGCTTTTCAAAGCCCTTTCTCCCACCCCCAAGCTATGGATGGCTGCTGCAGTCCTACGCAAGGAGGCCTGAGGGGGCTCTGGTTTTGAAACACAGGCTTTTGGTTCAGGCTGGTAACGGCCTACAGCTCAAACGCTCACAACACCTCTCGGAAAACAACTCTCTGTCAAAGACTCGATTCGGCTTCTCCACTCCAGGGGAAAGACAATTCAGCCCACACGCCAGGCCTGCAAGCAAAGCTCTAGAAAACGCAGGGAAGCCCGACTTGGTATCTCCAAGGCAAACCACCCCCCTTCGGTTTCAAAACGAAGATCTAAACACAAGTCTCGTTCGGCCTTCTCTGTGCTTCAGGAGGCCCAAGCTGCACAGATCTGGTTTCTCCCTGGAGCGGTGCTCTGGCTTCCCGGTACATCAGCGTGTGCACCCGGGGGAGGCGGAACACGTGCCTGCAGAAATCCGGCCCCCGTTGGGAGTTGGAAAGGAAGGCCGAGGACGTGCCGAAAGCTGCCAGCCGAGCTGAAACGTGCGCTGGGCCCCTGGTTTTCTCCGGTCACGCGCCCTGGGGCTGCACCATTTCCGGACACTTCCCATCTCCATGGTGTCAAGGAGCCCAGCACGCAGCCCCCGGCCCGGCAGGGAGAACAGGCAGCGATGTCCCAAAGGGGCCGGGCCCTGTCTCCTCCGCCACTATTCCCGCAGGGGCCAGCGGACCGGCGCCCGGAGGGGGTTTCTGGCTAGCAGCCCCTCGGACCAAGCCAAGCGGAGGCGGCTCTCGCTGGGCCTGGGGCCTGTCTGGCTTCAATCCACAGCCCCGGAGAGTCCGAACGTGGAGGAGAGAGGAAGGAAACTCGGGTAGTTACACGTGCGGGGTGGAGAGAGCTTGGCACTGCCGGGAAGCCCTGCCATACGGGGAGAACCCACCCGCAGCAGGCCGTGGAGCTGTGCCCGTCCCCCGCTGGCGAGATGCTGTGGGGGAGGGGCCAGGGCTCCTCATCCCCCCCACACCCGCTCCACCAGCTCGGGCCGCTCCGCCAGCACCGCCAGCGCGCTCAGGAACCTGGCGAGACACCGGACGAGGCCCCTCAGGAACCGAAACGGGGGACGAGCGCCAGGCTCCCCTGTGGCCTCCGCCCAGAGAGCACGGGGCAGGGGTACAGAGCGTTTCCCTCGGGATAGGCCTGCGCCTGCGGCGAGGAGCCAGGGGCTGGCTGAACCTGCCCTCGGAGCCCCTAAGCCTACCTGGGCGCGCTCAGGAACCTGGCGAGACACCGGACGAGGCCCCTCAGGAACCGAAACGGGGGACGAGCGCCAGGCTCCCCTGTGGCCTCCGCCCAGAGAGCACGGGGCAGGGGTACAGAGCGTTTCCCTCGGGATAGGCCTGCGCCTGCGGCGAGGAGCCAGGGGCTGGCTGAACCTGCCCTCGGAGCCCCTAAGCCTACCTGGGTCCCTCCAGCTGGCTACACGCCTCCCCGGCCCACGTGCCCACGCCCTGGTGGAGGTGGCAAAGCGCCAGCCCAGCCCGGGAGCTTTGCCATGGGCTGCAGCAGGCTCGGCCCGGAGCTCGCCCTGCCCAACGGATAAGCCCTTTTCCAGCTTTGTGCCGCCAGGAAGAACGGCCCCCGGGCTGGCTGACCCACTGCCCTGCTCAGAACCTCCCCGCGCTCCGGGGGCAGAGAGGAAGAGTCCCAGGGCCAGGGAGAGCCGGCGTTCGGAGCGAGCCCGGATACGAGGCGAGGGAGCGTGCCGAAGGGTCAGCACCCAGACCTGCTGCTCCGGGGGGGG